CAACCCCACAGTGATACCATATCAATATCAAGTCATTCTGATGTTGCTTTCCAAAATAAAGGCCATTTTAAATAGTCCACAATTGACCTAATTTTCAGTCATTTCAAAATGCTATAACAGTGAATTCAAAATGCTCTAAAATGGAAAATTGCTGTTTCCACAGGGTAATTCCACTTTAGATCTACAGTATACAAACCCACAGTGATACCATATCAATATCAAGTCATTCTGATGTTGCTTTCCAAAATAAAGGCCTTTTTAAATTGTCCACAGTTGACCTAATTTTCAGTGATTTCAAAATGCTATAACAGTGATTTCAAAATGCTCTAAAATGGAAAATTGCTGTTTCCACAGGGTAATTCCACTTTAGATCTACAGTATACCACCCCACAGTGATACCCCATCAATATCAAGTCATTCTGATTTTGCTTTCCAAAATAAAGGCCTTTTTAAATTGTCCACAATTGACCTAATTTTCAGTGATTTCAAAATGCTATAACAGTAATTTCAAAATGCTCTAAAATGGAAAATTGCTGTTTCCACAGGGTAATTCCACTTTAGATCTACAGTATACAACCCCACAGTGATATCATATAAATATCAAGTAATTTTGATGTTGCTTTCCAAAATAAAGGCCTTTTTAATTTGTCCACAATTGACCTAATTTTCAGTGATTTCAAAATGCTATAACAGTGATTTCAAAATGCTCTAAAATGGAAAATTGCTGTTTCCACAGGGTAATTCCACTTTAGTTCTACAGTATACCACCCCACAGTGATACCATATCAATATCAAGTCATTCTTATGTTGCTTTCCAAAATAAAGGCCTTTTTAAATTGTCCACAATTGACCTAATTTTCAGTGATTTCAAAATGCTATAACAGTGATTCAAAATGCTCTAAAATGGAAAATTGCTGTTTCCACAGGGTAATTCCACTTTAGATCTACAGTATACCACCCCACAGTGATACCCCATCAATATCAAGTCATTCTGATTTTGCTTTCCAAAATAAAGGCCTTTTTAAATTGTCCACAATTGACCTAATTTTCAGTGATTTCAAAATGTTATAACAGTGATTCAAAATGCTCTAAAATGGAAAATTGCTGTTTCCACAGGGTAATTCCACTTTAGATCTACAGTATACAACCCCACAGTGATATCATATAAATATCAAGTCATTCTGATGTTGCTTTCCAAAATAAAGGCCTTTTTAATTTGTCCACAATTGACCTAATTTTCAGTGATTTCAAAATGCTATAACAGTGATTCAAAATGCTCTAAAATAGAAAATTGCTGTTTCAACAGGGTAATTCCACTTTAGATCTACAGTATACAACCCCACAGTGATACCATATCAATATCAAGTCATTCTGATGTTGCTTTCCAAAATAAAGGCCTTTTTAAATTGTCCACAATTGACCTAATTTTCAGTTATTTCAAAATGCATAACAGTGATTCAAAATGCTCTAAAATGGAAAATTGCTGTTTCCACAGGGTAATTCCACTTTAGATCTACAGTATACAACCCCACAGTGATATCATATAAATATCAAGTAATTTTGATGTTGCTTTCCAAAATAAAGGCCTTTTTAATTTGTCCACAATTGACCTAATTTTTAGTGATTTCAAAATGCTATAACAGTGATTTCAAAATGCTCTAAAATAGAAAATTGCTCTTTCAACAGGGTAATTCCACTTTAGATCTACAGTATACAACCCCACAGTGATACTATATCAATATCAAGTCATTCTGATGTTGCTTTCCAAAATAAAGGCCTTTTTAAATTGTCCACAGTTGACCTAATTTTTAGTGATTTCAAAATGCTATAACAGTGATTTCAAAATGCTCTAAAATGGAGAATTGCTGTTTCCACAGGGTAATTCCACTTTAGATCTACAGTATGCCACCCCACAGTGATAGCTCATCAATATCAAGTCATTCTGATTTTGCTTTCCAAAATAAAGGCCTTTTTAAATTGTCCACAGTTGACCTAATTTTTAGTGATTTCAAAATGCTATAACAGTGATTTCAAAATGCTCTAAAATGGAGAATTGCTGTTTCCACAGGGTAATTCCACTTTAGATCTACAGTATACCACCCCACAGTGATACCCCATCAATATCAAGTCATTCTGATTTTGCTTTCCAAAATAAAGGCCTTTTTAAATTGTCCACAATTGACCTAATTTTCAGTGATTTCAAAATGCTATAACAGTGATTCAAAATGCTCTAAAATGGAAAATTGCTGTTTCCACAGGGTAATTCCACTTTAGATCTACAGTATACAACCCCACAGTGATACCATATCAATATCAAGTAATTTTGATGTTGCTTTCCAAAATAAAGGCCTTTTTAATTTGTCCACAATTGACCTAATTTTCAGTGATTTCAAAATGCTATAACAGTGATTTCAAAATGCTCTAAAATAGAAAATTGCTCTTTCAACAGGGTAATTCCACTTTAGATCTACAGTATACAACCCCACAGTGATACCATATAAATATCAAGTCATTCTGATGTTGCTTTCCAAAATAAAGGCCTTTTTAAATTGTCCACAATTGACCTAATTTTCAGTGATTTCAAAATGCTATAACAGTGATTTCAAAATGCTCTAAAATAGAAAATTGCTGTTTCAACAGGGTAATTCCACTTTAGATCTACAGTATACAACCCCACAGTGATACCATATAAATATCAAGTCATTCTGATGTTGCTTTCCAAAATAAAGGCCTTTTTAAATTGTCCACAGTTGACCTAATTTTCAGTGATTTCAAAATGCTATAACAGTGATTTCAAAATGCTCTAAAATGAAAAATTGTTTTTTCCACAGAGTATTTCCACTTTAGATCTACAGTATGCAACCCCACAGTGATACCATATCAATATCAAGTCATTCTGATGTTGCTTTCCAAAATAAAGGCCTTTTTAAATTGTCCACAATTGACCTAATTTTCAGTGATTTCAAAATGCTCTAAAATGGAAAAGCAACATCAGAATGACTTGATATTGATATTGGGACGTAGATCGACCGGTAAATCGAGAGCCTGGCTTTCTGGCTCAGCTCCCTCTTCACCACGACAGATCGGCTCAGCGTCCGCATCACTGCAGACGCCGAACCAATCCGCCTGTCGATCTCCCGATCCCTCCTACCCTCACTCGTGAACAAGACCCCGAGATACTTAAACTCCTCCACTTGAGGTAGGACCTCCCCCCCGACCCGGAGTTGGCAAGCCACCCTTTTCCGGTCGAGAACCATGGTATCAGATTTGGAGGTGCTGATCCTCATCCCAGCCGCTTCACACTCGGCCGCGAACCTACCCAGCAAGAGCTGAAGGTCAGAGCTGGATGAAGCTGGAGGACCACATCATCCGCAAAAAGCAGAGACGAGATTCTCCTGCCACCAAACTCAACACACTCCACACCACGGCTGTGCCTAGAAATTCTGTCCATAAAGGTAATGAACAGAACCGGTGACAAAGGGCAGCCCTGGCAGAGTCCAACCCTCACCGGGAACAGGTCCGACTTACTACCGGCTATGCGGAGACCCCGTTTGGGTCCGAGATGTCAAGCAGTCAGTGACCCCACATGCACGTGTCTTGTAGGAAAACCTCGATGCGACCAAGTCAGTCCTAGGATGTCTCTCAAGTCACAAGAGATGGAGGAAATCGTTTGCATCTAGAACAGCTGTTTCTGAATAGCGGAAGGAACCGTTCTGCTGTGTCAGCTGTAGCGTTCAACGGGTTTTGACAGCTTGTCAAGAGATGCGGCGGTTAGTTTTCTCCGGTGGTCAGTCCGGAGTTCTGCTCAAAAACTAACTGAATCACTCCGCAAGTGATTCTGTTTTAATATTCCCATATTATGATTACATGGCCAATCAGGACAAAAGAGGTTAAGAGGTGTTAACAAGCAAACCTCAGAACACACGTCTTTTCCAGATACAAGAATGTTCTAGTTCTGTGGATAAAGAATGTTTATGTGCAGTGACGTTAACTTTAACTTATTTCTCATGAACACTGTGTATGAGTGTAGATAATGATTCACTTGTTAAACCAAACGTTACTGATCATAACATCAAAATGTTTCATTGTAATATTAAAATTCATTTCAACTTCATTGAATTAGGCACATATTAATCAAACATTAACATTATTATTCATGTAACATTTGTTCATTCAACCATATGTTTATTTAATGATTATTTAACTTATGAGTTGTAAAAGTTCATCTTTCATGAGAGAGAGAGCAATCCTGCAGTCTTATCAAAAGAAAGCTTTGTTTGGGAACATAGGCTGACATCTTGTGGCCCTGAAACGTCAACAAGGACTGCAGAATCTTCTGGCTTGTTGGAAGATAGAATGTAAAATCCACTTTAGAGAATGGAATTGTGTCTGCAGATGACCGGACATTGTGTAGGTCAATATGTGGGTGAAAATTGACCCTTTCTGGACGTTACATCGTCATGAGTCAAGATCAGCGAGTTCATGAATGCTAATTCACAGCGTGACGTAGATCTGTCAGGCTTTTCTAATCCTAGAGTTTCACTGTCTATTTTCTATCAGAAGCTAATGCAGGAGGTAAGTGTAGGAGACTACACCTTCAACAGAACCAGAGTTTAGTTCTAGCTTTTCCCTACTGGAGGGGGTCAATGCCCCCTTCTCGCTCATTTGAGGTCAATTTAAAACTAAACTTGCTGTAGCTAGTGGAGTGTGTACAGTAACGCAGTGTGTAGCTCAGAGAGATTACTGTTTCAGCCTTGGAAATTGGTTGTTTTCAGCTCTGCATGATGATTGACAGCATGTCAGGATGATCTGCAGAGCTTGGAAAAGGACCACCACTGCAACACTGACTCTTTGCATCAATGAAATGAAAATATAAACTCCCTACTTGGACCTAATTCACACTGACAGAGTCATCAGGTCTTACAGACTTGTGTGTCTGCTTTAAAGTCTCAGATCTGGCCAGAAAATGTTTTTTTAAAAAGTAATTTTATTTTACTCACATGTATCTGAGCTCTGATTCCCTCCTGACCAGGATGTCCCTGATCCTCTCAATCTTGAAGAGCTCCCCCTCAATGTCGTCCACAGTGATGGTGGAGTCAGCCATGGACACAACATCATCTTCTAACAGGGAGGAAGGAAGAAAAGGACCTGTATAACTGTTGATGCTGGAAAACAGCCCTGAGTCTTATGGTTGTTGAAGGAGTTTTGACTCGGTCCTCATGCTGGAGGCATGAGAAGAATAAAGTGTTTGAGACAAATCTCCAGCAGCTCAGTAGAACAATGACCAAACAGGAAGCTGCATTTTAAACAGCTGCAGCAGGTGGGGCTCAAAATGACTGCTGGAGCAGAGTGACAGACAAATGATGGCGTGGAAGAGGCTGGCACCACACACACACACACACACACACACACACACACACACACACACACACACACACACACTCACACACACACACACAAGCACACGCACACATAAACATACACACACACAAACATACACACACACACACTCACACACGCGCGCGCACACACACAAACATACACACACACACTCACACACACACACACACACGCGCACACACACACAAGCACACGCACACACAAACATACACACACACAAACATACACACACACACAGACACACAAACATACACACACACAGACACACAAACATACACACACACACACTCACACACGCGCGCGCACACACAAGCACACGCACACACAAACATACACACACACAAACATACACACACACACTCACACACACACACACGCGCGCACACACACACAAGCACACGCACACACACTCACACTCACACACACACACACTCACACACACAAGCACACGCACACACACAAGCACACGCACACATAAACATATACACACACAAACATACACACACACACACTCACACACGCGCGCGCACACACACAAACATACACACACACACAAACATACACACACACACAAACATACACACACACACTCACACACACACACACACACACACACACACACACACACACACACACACACACACGCGCACACACACACAAGCACACGCACACACAAACATACACACACACAAACATACACACACACAGACACACAAACATACACACACACAAACATACACACACTCACACACACACGCGCGCACACACACACAAGCACACACAAACATACACACACACAGACACACAAACATACACACACACACACTCACACACGCGCGCGCACACACAAGCACACGCACACACAAACATACACACACACACTCACACACACACACACACACGCGCACACACACACAAGCACACGCACACACAAACATACACACACACAGACACACAAACATACACACACACAAACATACACACACTCACACACACACGCGCGCACACACACGCAAGCACACACAAACATACACACACACAAACATACACACACACAGACACACAAACATACACACACACAAACATACACACACTCACACATACACAAGCACACACAAACATACACACACACAAACATACACACACACACTCACACACACACGCGCGCACACACACAAGCACACGCACACACAAACATACACACACACAAACATACACACACACAAACACACACACACACACACACACGCGCGCACACACACACAAGCACACGCACACACAAACATACACACACACAGACACACAAACATACACACACACAAACATACACACACTCACACACACACGCGCGCACACACACACAAGCACACACAAACATACACACACACAAACATACACACACACAGACACACAAACATACACACACACAAACATACACACACTCACACATACACAAGCACACACAAACATACACACACACAAACATACACACACACACTCACACACACACGCGCACACACACACAAGCACACACAAACATACACACACAAACATACACACACACACTCACACACACACGCGCGCACACACACAAGCACACGCACACACAAACATACACACACACAAGCACACGCACACACAAACATACACACACACAAACATACACACACACAGACACACAAACATACACACACACAGACACACAAACATACACACACTCACACACACACGCGCGCACACACACACAAGCACACGCACACATAAACATACACACACAAACATACACACACACACTCACACACACACACACGCGCGCACACACACACAAGCACACGCACACACAAACATACACACACACAAACATACACACACACAGACACACAAACATACACACACTCACACACACACGCGCGCACACACACAAGCACACGCACACATAAACATACACACACAAACATACACACACACAGACACACAAACATACACGTGCGTGCGTCCACACACACACAGACACACACACACACACAGGCACACACACACAACTGACGTGTTGCAAAGATGCAGCAGCTCTACCTGAAACAGATCCTGTCACACACAAAGACATCCTGACTCCCTGTAGAAAATCCTGCCGTTGTGTCCTTGGGCAGGGCACTTCACCCTCCTTTGCTGCTGCTGGTGGTTGGAGGGATCGGTGGTGCCTGTGTACAGCAGGCGCGCCTCTGCTCATCACTACCAGTGTGTGCGTGAATGAATGATTTACTGTTGTATAAAGCACTTTGGAGTCCTCAGAGAGGCGCTATAATTTTCTCCATCCTCATCAGGGTCTCAGGGAGCTGGTGTTTAACTCAAGAGGTCATCAAGCGAGATCAGGGGGCATCCTGGACATGTCTCCAGTCGATCACAGGGACAAACGTGCATCCATACAGTCACTCACTCACATCTATGGACAGTTTGAAGTCCTAGAATAACCGGACATGCATGTTTTTGGTCTGCGGGATGAAGCTGGAGAACGGGGAGAAAACCCACGCATCACGGGGAGAACATTCACAGAGAAAGGACACAGCAGCACTGTCCTAAAGGTTCTGGACTTGACTGAGATCTGATGAGGTCGTTGGAGTCCAGTGAACTTATGGTGATGTTCTAGAAACCAGTTAGAGATTAGCTGAGCTTTGTGAGATGGTGCATGATCCTGCTGGAAGTAGCCGTCAGAAGATGGGTCCACGTGGTCATAAAGGGGTGGACATGGTCAGCAACGATACTCAGGTAGGCAGCAACGATACTCAGGTAGGCTGTGGTGGTTAAACCAGGCTCAGGTAGGACTGAAGGTCTGAAGCACTGATGCAAGGCAGGATGGATCCATGTTTTCATGTTGGTGGCACCAAATTCTGACCCACCCATCTGAATGTTGCAGATGAAATCCAGATTCATCAGACCAGGAAAGGTTTTCCACTTCTGGTGATCCTGTGTGAGTTGTTGCCTCGGTTTCCTGTTCTGAGGAGACAAGAGAGACACCTGGTGTGGTTTCTGCTGCTGGAGTCCATCTAAGCAGCTGGTGTTCTTCTGCAGACCTTGGTGGGAACCAGTGGTTATTAAAGCTATGGCGCTGTTCTATCATCTAGAACCAGCCTGACCAGTCTCTGACTTCCAACAGGACATGCTGCTTACTGGACATTTGATCTTTTTCGGACCACTCTCCCATGAATGCAGCACCATCAGCAGCCCACAGCTCCTCAGAGATTGGTCGAGTTTTCTTTATCCGGCACTCGCAGAGAACAGACGCTTCTGCTTCTGCTCCCTTATCTTTTCTTCCCGAGGCTCTTTGTCCTGTCTGCCTACAGAGCGCTTCTCTGCATTTCTTCATTATCTCTGCCTGACCCAAACACAGTCTTGTTATCCAAATCTGACGCCAAGGCAGCCTTGAGCTGCTAACAACGACCCCCACGAAGGAAGGAATGCAGATAGATGCTGTGGAAACCCGTCCTACCCCCCCCCCCCCTCCCCCCCGCGCCTTCAGATTGTGGACTTCTGCCTAGCGAGGTCATCAACCTGCAGGAAACTCAAATGTGCTCTGCGTTCCTCCAAGATCTCCCTCCCTCCTGTGGATACAGCTGGGTGAGCGCCACACAGGGCTGCTCGCCCTGGGGAAACAGGATCCCAGCCATAACCCCCCCCCCCCCACCACCTTCATATCGGAGTCTCATGTTGTGAACTATGATGTTCGTGCTTATATGTTTGAGGTTTTATTTATTTTTTTTTTTTGCATAGTAAAGCTACGCCCTGCCGGGAATAACTCTGGTATGCCTTTTTTTCCCCTCCCCCAACTTATCCTCATGTAATTCCCTTTTCATCTTTTAAGGTGGCGCAACTCGTGTTGCGAATGACCACAGTCACCAATTCTTGTCATGTGTCTTGCCCATGTATGTCTGATCTCTGAATTGTGTGTACTGACACTCAATTTCATTTCTCTGCATGGACGTAATTTTTGGGGGGGGGGGGACATGTCCCCCCACTTTTTCCAAAGTCAAGTTTTGACCCCTGCACTTTTTACCATCCAAAAACAATATTACGCTATATTAAATTGACACAGGTTGAGCTCTAGGACCAAGTGGAAAACAACCGTTTGTGTTGAAGCCTGTTTCCCATTAGAGCATACTGTAAAGATACCCCCTCCCCCTCCATGCCCCCCCCCCCCCCCACTTCTAAAGTGAAAATTACATCCATGTTTCTCTGTATGTCTTGCACATGTGGTAGAATTGACAATAAAACTGACTTTGACTTTGCACTCAAAGTCAAAGTCAAAGAAATTATTTTCCAAAATGGCAAACCCCAGAGGTGTTCCTTTGTTTTTTATCTGAATGGATTTACGCAAAAATCCCTCCAGGATGAACCAAACCAACTCGACACAGTCAGATTTAACTTTACAAACACAAACTCCTGATGTCCGTGTAAAACAGGAATCAGACTCTGGCTGAACCCATGCTGTCTGGTGCATGATGCGCGTGTCGTCAGAAGGACCATTTGATGCAACATCACATCTGTTCTTAGGTTCTTACACACGTTCCTTTCCTGAGACTCTTCTGCTGGTGGCGACAACCCGTTCTGCTGCAGAGGCTCCGGAGAACACTGAGCTGTTATGACTCATCACTACACCTATCTGCTGCTGCTTTTACACCCGTTTCCTCTCCTCCCCTCACTCCACGGGTCTGCCGACTTTTTCTAAAACCCTGAAAACACGAATGGCACAGCCAGCTCGCTTTTATCAAACTTCAAATCCCAAAAATGCACCAGAGGAGGAAAAAAAGACACATTTATATATGAAAAGAAAAACAGTTTACAACTGGTGGGAACAAACAATTACTCAAACTTCTGCTGTATGGAGACACAATTACCTTCAGTAATGTCAAAGGATGGAGATGAACTCATTAAAATAGTTGTTTTATTTTAAAAAGATTTAAGATTTCTGCTAAATCAAACCTGATCTAGCTTCAGCTTGTTTAGCGATTTGATGTTTGACTAAACAAAACAAGAAAGGAAATGAGGTTTAGGGGGTCCACTTTACTGTTTTGAGCTCTTTTCTCCCCAGATTCTTTTATTTTTTCTGATTTTTAGATAAAACAAATTTTACTGGGCTGTGAAAGCAGGGGCGGCGTTAGGCCCAGCTACTTGGGCTGAAGCCCCGAATCTTTAATGAAAAGCCCCGGATCTCAAACGTGGAAGTAACATGCAGTACCAAAGTCCAACAGAGAGGGAGCAGCTGGCAGTAGTTTGTATACAGCCTGCCTGAGCCTCCACCACTGAAGAAGAAGCCCTTCAGCATCCGGCTTCTTCTGCACTCTCTGCCTGAAACGCATGAGTGAAGATGGACATAAGGACGTTTTTTAGACCAAAAGTACGGCGACAGAACCCCAGCTCTGATGAGACTGGTGCTGATTCAGGTTTGTGAGTCTTATTTGAAAATATTTGTTGTGCTGCTGGTTTGCCTAAAGTTAGCTTATCAGGTAAAGTTGATGGAGAAAGAACGGGAATATTTACTATCATCTCACACTAAACACTAACAGGAACTCTGCCCTGAATATGCTTAATATGTAGCTTCAGATTAAACATTATGTGGTACAAAACATATATATATGATGTTGACTAGTGCGTATCATGTGTGTGTGTGTGTGTGTTAAGCCCCGGATCTTCTTCAGTCCTAAATCCGCCCCTGTGTGAAAGACTGTTAGTTCAATGAAATGATGCATGTGAGGAACTTGTGATCATAATTCCCACACGGTGAGTCATGATCCTCTAACTGGGGAGTCGGGAACACACAGCTGATCCAAACATGGACACTCACGAGACCCCGGACATGTTCAGGACCTGCTGCTGTTTAAAAATAAACAATTTAATTCAGTCTCAACGATAAATTAAAGTAGAATGAAGGTTTTCCCAAACAAACACATGTTTTTGAATCCTGCATTAGAGCGTAAACATTAGATCTCCTGAGCTGAATCACAATAAACATAGAAGCGAAAACATTCTGTTTGTGACACACACACACACACACACACACACACACACACACACACACACACACACACACACACACACCATCCAGCAGAATGAAATATTCTTGTGTTGTAAATCAACCTGGCTTCTTTGCGCCGCTGCTCCATGCGGTGTGCTCCAGTGAGCCATACTGGAAGGAAGATGCTTCTCGTTTCTCCATCGGTGCTGATGCTGCTCTCCAGCTGAGGAAGAGAAGAAGCAGTGAAGACAGCTACGGGGGAGGGTCTCTCATCCCCACATTGATGCTGCTTCTCACTGAGTCATCAGCCAGTCACCAACCCGCCGAGGCAAACAGCCAGATGTTCCAGAGGTCTACGGTAGCCCTGACTCTGTGTGAGGACATCCAGAGGACTGCAAGCAAACAGTGCCACCTGGTGGCTGCGACACACAACTACAGCAGAGAAGTAAAAGACCAACGCTGTTTTACAAAATCGGATCTTTATTTACATCATTTTGTTACAGTCACTTCATCCTTCATACATGTCATCAGAGGAGAATAATGTGCAAAATTACACCCTAAAACATCATAACTGAACCCTGTCAGGCCAGCAGACATCACACACACACACACACACACACACACACACACACACACACACACACACACACACACACACACACACAC